GAATATGTAAAGTAAGGGATTCATTAATATCTATCACAAATTTGTTATCACGAAATTGATTCCAAAGAAAGCTTTTGACACGCAACTTCGAAATGTAGTTTAGAAATACTATGTATACAAATTAGTAAATTAACGACTTCTACACTACTTCAAGTTAGGGATATTAGTACATGTTAAAAATTAGTTGTTTTATTTGGTGTTAATATGAAATGTTTAGTAAAAATTTTTTTTTTTGGTAACAGATATGTTTTTAGGAGTACAAATAAATAGGCTCTTATATCTAAGGCATAAGCAGATGTTTTTAACTTTCTGCTCTAGATTGTCCTATTCCTCTGTGATTTTCGATTATTAAGTCCTGCACTTTTTGAAGGCCCGGGAAGCGGTGGAAAGTTGGTTATATTTAAGGCGAGATCGTCGAGTTTTTTGAGATCATCTTTCGGTCCATCCGATCCTCTAGCACCAAAACTCAAAAGGGTTATTGTTGAGCTCCTGCCAAATTTGACCAATATGCCGGCGTTCTGTTGTACAAATCAAGTGGATATAATGTTAAATATTATGTAAGGCTTGAAACAGGGCAAGCAAATGGTAATTACTACTTATCTAAGTACATATTTAAAAAATTAAAAACCAGCTTTCTACTGAGCACATAAAATGCAAAATCTGTGGGAAATGCAAAGAATACTTTGGGATACTAAAAGCTGGCAAAACTAAAAGTAAAAAAAAGCCAATAAAATATTACCAAATTAAATTTAGAAAGCTTAAGATAGAAAGTTATGGCTGTCCTTACTTGTACCCTTTTCACCAGGACTTGCCTTGCCTCCACCAGCCTCTTCCTGTCCACTAAATCCTCCTGGATGTGGTCCTTTCTCTGCAGCTCTTGAGTAACGCATGGTCTGCTGGGGTCGGAAATGCATATAAACTTAGCAAAGCAATAAACAAGTAAGTTCATTAATTTATCTTCACCTGGTTGTCCTGTTGCTCCGGGCGCCTTGGATGCGACCAGGGCAGTTTTCCCGCCCACTGTTGGACAGGCGATGAATAGTACGGCTGCTGGGGCTGATGTGGCTGATAGGACTGATGTGGCTGCTGATAGGGCTGAACTGGCTGCTGATAAGGTTGCTGAAGCTTATCCAATAGCGCGGGGCAGCCCTTAGACTCCTCCTGGAAGTACCTGCCAATGTCCATCTCAAAGAACGCCTCGCCATGGATGGCGTACATCTGCGCAGCGTAGATCTCGTTCGGCGACAGGTTGGCCAGGAAGAGGTCCATCTTGGCAAAGGAGTTCACGTAGTTAAAAATATCCCACCAGTTCTCATATAGATACTCGATTTCACTTGCAGAAAGCGGCTGACTAACGGGATGCCAGCAACCAAGCTGCATGGGATAGCCGTTCGGTAGCCAGCATCCCGGCACGGACATATTGACCATGTTCGAGGGCATTGAAGAAGTAGAATTTTGCTGGGGAAACGTATTGGTTCTCATATATCTTGGCTTTCTGTGCATAAAGTTGCGACGATTGGAGAACGGTTTCTTGAGCTGATGGCGGTCCACACTCCAAATGGTCTTGTTTGGCGGAAGCTTGCGATCGTACCTATAGTTCTCCCAGACATACTTGGTGGCCTCCACCATGAACACTATCTGCTCCACCTGGTAGCGGTATATGCGTTCCATATAGGTCCTGCGTTTTATGCCCATCAGCATCTCGTAGCCAATGGGCTTTAGCGTTTGGTTAGCAAACGTATCCTCATCATCGGAATGGTAGTCATTTTTTAAGAACTTCAGACCCAACGGGTTGCGTCGCTTGTTAGCGTAAGCCCACCCACGGAACTGCATCAGTGCTCTGACATTCTCTGTGCGTGGCTTCACCACATCCCTGGGCATCTCGTAATACTCTGGAAAATCGAGATACCCATCCTCAAGATCGATGGGCATCGTCAACGGCGGAGTGATTGTGACCGTGTACGCCGGGTATTCGCTTGGGGGCGAATCAGAGAAGGGGTCCGTCTCATCCGTTGGCTTCATAGGCTCCACTGGCTTCATTGGCGGTGTCTGCTCATTGGTCTTCTGCGATTTGCCAGAGTTTGGATTGTCTTGCTTGAATAGCGTATTGGTTCTCATATATCTTGGCTTTCTTTGCATAAAGTTGCGACGATTGGAGAACGGTTTCTTGAGCTGATGACGCTCCACACTCCAAATGGTCTTGTTTGGCGGAAGCTTGCGATCGTACCTATAGTTCTCCCAGACATACTTGGTGGCCTCCACCATGAACACTATCTGCTCCACCTTGTAGCGGTATATGCGTTCCATATAGGTCCTGCGTTTTATGCCCATCAGCATCTCGTAGCCAATGGGCTTTAGCGTTTGGTTAGCAAACGTATCCTCATCATCGGAATGGTAGTCATTTTTTAAGAACTTCAGACCCAACGGGTTCCGTCGCTTGTTAGCGTAAGCCCACCCACGGAACTGCATCAGTGCTCTGACATTCTCTGTGCGCGGCTTCACCACATCCCTGGGCATCTCGTAATACTCTGGAAAATCGAGATACCCATCCTCAAGATCGATGGGCATCGTCAACGGCGGAGTGATTGTGACCGTGTACGCCGGGTATTCGCTTGGGGGCGAATCAGAGAAGGGGTCCGTCTCATCCGTTGGCTTCATAGGCTCCATTGGCTCCACTGGCTCCATTGGCGGTGACTGCTCATTGGTCTTCTGCGATTTGCCAGAGTTTGGATTGTCTTGCTTAAATAGCTGCTCATCGATGAAGCTGCCCAAGGTGATGTTGTGCGCGTTTTGGTAGTGGTACATCGAAATAGGTGTATAGCTCCTTTCCAGATCCTTGAAGTAGTAGCTATTTCCGCTTCCGATTCCACTTCCTCTGCTGCCGACGTGTCCAGTCAGCGTATTTCCGCTTTCGAAGCTACTGTTGTAGCTCCCACTTCTTTGCAAGTTGGCAAACCGATAATCTGCGCAGAAAATTAGTTAACATATCTGTACAAATGCAGATATGCATATGTAATATATATAAAGATAGTTGATATCCCAACTTCCTCATGAAGTTTGCAACACAATGACTTTTATCGAAAAGGGCCAGAAATAGGAACAATATTTCGAGAGGTAAAATATACATACATATACATATACAAATACATATGCATATACATATACTTATACATATGTACATATAAGAAAAGAGCGGTCTTCCCGCAAATTCGCCACCTTTAAGTTCTTACAAATTTCTTGTGTTTTGCATTTTATTGTTGGACATTGCGAAAGCGGTGAAGAATAAATACAAAAAAAGGTTCTCAAGGGTTCCGAAATTCACACACATTCTAAGAAAAGAGGAGTTCTTGCGCAACCACCTTTCCAACACTTATCACAAGCACTTTACCATCAAGTTTAAAACGGCTATACATATGTATATGCTTGTTTATCGCCCAGGGATCGTATTTAAGAATTGCACATCCAATCTCCTCGAGGGAAAAATCGGAGTAGTTTGCACGGTGTGTGTGTTGATTCCATATGACATTTTCTCGTCTCGCTTTCTCGCATTCTTCGCTTTACCAACACCAATGCAGCGAATGGAGCGAGATGGCTGGAGAGGAAGAGAGAAGGACGCCATTCTGAAAGTTCGCCATTTTCGAAAGGAATGTGAGCGTGAGCTTGTTGTTCTTGCATTTTCTCGCGAAGATTGGAGAAACAATATCGCCTATGCCGGTAACCGGAGCACGTCTTTCACTACACTTTCGGTCTGGATTTGTTTGGCAAGCACAAGTCCATGGTCAGCAAATCGAAGTTTATATTACTAAATGGCCAATTTGTTTATGTTTGTTTACATGCATATGTACACCGCGGCGTTTGTTTATGACGCCACCAGAAGAGTAGATAATGCATATGTAAATGACTGACTACTGGACTACAACTACTGGCTTACCGGTACCCGTCGGAAAAAATAGTTTCGAATTGTTTGGATTATGCTTTGTGGTGGCAATCTGAGGCGAGAAATTTGAAGTTAGCGCAAATAATGGGTCGGCGTATTACCGCCATGATGGTAATCCCAATGGCTTACATTGCGTGCCGGGTTCCTCTGGCCGCTCTTAGCTTTTTTCAAATTCCTGGGCGCTTTAGTCTGCTGCGCATGCTCCTTGCTTTGCCACAAAATCAGTGGCCCAGGATTGGGCTGGTCGTAGCTGCCCTGTCGCTTCTTCTGTCGCTTGCTAACGAACTTCATTTTCTTCATGCTCCAACTTTTGTCGCCCAGAACGGCACTTCTGGTTTTGACGATTTTCCGGAAACGGATGCCGGTCCAGTTACCAAAGGTAAAATGTCCTCGAGGGATGGACCGTTAAATGGCAGTGCAGCATCGATACGTAGGACATCACGATATCGATGGCTTCAGTTCGCTGGACTTAGGGATCGCTTCCTTCTCCCCTCCCTAAAGACGCGATACATTTGAATAAGTAATTAATAAAGTAGGTAATTCATATTGACTTTGGTAAGCAATATTGACTCGAAAGGCTTCTGTTTCTGCTTAAAAAAAAACAGCGAATAGATCAGTTGCAGGATTTTTTTGGGCATGCGTAGTTTATGCGCTAAGTTTAACTCCGAGAATTTGGAAAGCTGTTTAAAAAGGGCGCTGCAACTAGAGATGGACTTAAGCGACACTGGGCACTGTGTATTTCTTATTTGAAACAATGATTAAGTCGTTTCGCGTAATATTTAAATTTCGTTCATTTTGCCCACAAGTGAATACGATTTCTTAGTTAAATTATGCGACGATGGGTACTTGTTGATGTAAAGCCAATTGCTATAGCACAAATGCATAAAAATGTCGTATTATTTTACCGGAAAGTTTTTATATATATGTAATTATCACTGTCTCTCAATTTCAAATGCAACATGTTCGTATTTTCTTAAATAGAGAATGCGAGCTTTGCCCGATAGCTTCTTAAATACCCGATAATCGTTTGCGAACTTATCGATACTCGATTCCCTGCACCAATCACGAGCATATCTCCTTTACCCAAAGGCTGGCCACACTGCACAGAAGCGCGAAATCTTTTTCGAAGAATTTTTGTGTTCTTTCAACTTGCGATACAAATTCTGGCCCAGGATTGGCCAGCGGCAACGCGGCGACCATCATGTCCGAATCAGACTATTTGTTTGCCCTGAAGCTGCAAAACCAGCTGAACGCTGAGGCAGAGCGCAGCAACGCATTTGCAAGTGCGGATACCAGCAATGTACGTAGTGGGAAATGGTAATTTGGTCAATAAAAAACCTGGGTGATCTCCTCTCTGCAGGACACAGACTTACAGCTGGCACGCAGGATTCAGGCCCTCTTGGATGAGGGCGAGAAGGACGGAGACAGCGATCTAGACACTAGTCTCCGTTTCGTCTACCCTTCAAATCAGCCAAAATCAGTGAGTTTGCCATGAAAATCCGAGGATTTCATTCAACCAAGGGCCTTGTTATAATCTAATCACCTTACATCTCAAACAGGCAGCAATGGCTAACAATAAAAGCCCAAACAATAAAGCCTCTGCTCCAAAGAAACAGCCAGTGCGCGCCATTCAGGCCAGCCATGATGACTTTCTCAACCAGACGATGAATCTGGTGCATCCGCAGTGGGAGCTGGTTGATCCCACTCCAGACATCTTCTCCATGTTTATACGCTTCGACGAGAAGTTCTTCCAGCAGCGCCTTGGCGCCGTCGCTCTCGAGTGGAGCAAGAAGATGTACTCGTGCGCTGGAATCTGCTACCAGCGAGGCAATCGCTTCGTCAAGGAGGTGACCATTCGGCTCAGTGAGCCGCTGCTAAAGCTGCGTCCGCGCAAGGATCTCGTGGAGACGCTTTTGGTGAGGTTTATTGCACTGTGCATGTATATTACGCAGTAAGCTAGGCTTGAGATGCAAATTAAGAAGAGGGGACTTCATTTGCATATCAAGCCTAGAGAATAGCATATGTACATAGATATTTTGTATTACATTATACCTATTTGTTGACTTAGCACGAAATGATCCACGCTTACTGCTTTGTGCTCAACATCCGCGAGGGCAACGGTGGTCATGGACCCAACTTCAAGCGCATTATGGAGACGATCAACAAGGTGGCGGGCACCAACATTACCGTTTACCACTCTTTTCACGACGAGGTGGCCGCCTACCGCACCCACATCTGGCGCTGCACGGGCATTTGCCAGCAGCGCACACCCTTTCTGGGCTATGTGAAGCGAACTAGCAACCGAGCGCCCGGTCCGAACGATCAATGGTGGGAGAAGCACCAGCGCGAATGTGGCGGCACCTTTATGAAGGTGGGAGAACCATCGAAACCTTCCAAACCGGAGCCCAAAACCAGGGCTAAGAAGTCCACTCCGGCGGTGGCCGCGCCCAAGGATGATATACGCAACTGGCTTGGACAGCCGGCAGCCAAGAAAGCGGCCACTGGCACAGCTTTACTGGGCAACTTGGCGAAGGCGGTGCCACCGACTTCATATCCCGGACTCTCATCCGATCCATTTGCCATGCCCAAGACACCAACTGCTGCCACAAGACCCAGTGGTGCAAATATCATAAGCTTCGGCGATCTCAACAAAAGTGGCGGAGGCAGCGAAATGACCAAATCAGGTTCGAAAGCCACCACTGATATGAACGGTCAGGGCTACAGTCTTGGTGGCTCTAGCGCTGTAGAAATCATTGATATTAGTGGCCCTAATGCGCCCAATACTGCTACACTTCGTCAAATTCGACTCGATCGTTTTAGTGGATCTGCTTCCGACAAACCGCAGAATAATTCTAAAACAGATATTTCCAAAAAGAGGCGTCGTGTTTCCAGTGACGGCGAGATAATCACCTGGGAGTCCTACGATGATGATGTGATGGTCAGGGATGTCCATGTGCCCGTCATAATCGTGACGGACAGCGATAGCGATGAAGAGGAGCAGGAGAAGAATAAATTTAAGATGCCAGCTGGTAGAAACACCATGAGCAGTCAGGAGCGCACTCAGAACATCAAGCGCGAGGTAATGGAGGATGAATTGACCTTTTGCGAGGACGATATTCTCTTAATTGATGATGAATATGACGATGAGGAGGCGGCCGCAAATGACAGTTTTACAGCTGCCACGGAACTAGCTGATCAATCTATTATTGACGATCTTTTTGGAGAGGACACCCTGCTGAAGGAGTTTCAGCGTGAAAATGACGTGCACCCCACAGGATCAAAGTACGCCAAAAATGTGGACAACGACATCGTATCTTGTCCCATTTGCTTTGAAAAGATGAAGCGCACGCAGTTGGCCAATCATTTCGAGGGCTGTACCATTACAGTGCGCGTGGAACCGCCATCGTTTAAACCGAAAAACAGCCGACCAAGTGCCTCTGTTACCTCCAAGGGCACCAGTTCCTCCTCCTCGAGACCTTCCACATCACGCGGCGCCAAGTCAAAATCAACGTCATCAAAGCAAATTCTTCGCAACTCCGGATACACAGAAGAGGAGATCGCCGAGCTCAACCTAAGCTCCTCCAGCGACTCGACCACTTTGCTGTCCAGCGAGGACGAGCTTACTCCGCGTCAGCGTCGCCAGCGGAATCTCTACAAGCAGACCGTTGGCTGTCCCCGATGTGGCCTGGAGTTTGAGGGCCACCAGCTGAAGGAGCATCGATCTCTCTGTCAGGAACGGAAGAAGCGCTAGAACGACACTTTATTCAAGCACAGATCTAATCTAACCATAAATTAATTAAGTTTTTCAGAATTCGTTTTATTTGTTATTAAAAAACTGTTAAATGATGCGCCCAAAATATCGCACGTTCTTCTTACCCACATAGCGCGTGGCCAACGCTGGCCAGTGGACCACAAAGAGATCCGCCAGCGGCAGGAGCAGGCGTCCGCTAAGCGAGAGCGTCTCCACGCGGCAAAAGCTCTCCACGAACACTATCCTGGAGTGGGAGGGCAGGCGTCCGAAGAGGCGCCACAAGTAGGCGGCGTAGCAGAAAGGCACACAGGTGCCGGGTCCATTGCAGAGGATCAGCTGGGGGCGATCCCGCCAGACCATATAGCAGCTCCACAGAAGTGCCCACAGGCTGGTGAAGATGCTGGTGAGCCAGGATTGGCCCACGTTGCGGCTGCGTGGTACCTTCACGAATTCCGCCTTCTGAGATGCCTGCGGCAGCGCCTGCCTGAACTGGCGCTCGGAGGTGGAGTCACTGCTAGCCAGGATCAGTCTAATTGGCTGGTACTTCTTCGTCTGCTCGATGTCTGCCTGCTGCAGCAGCGCCTGGGTCAGCCGGCACATTTCCGCCGTGTGGCCGCCGGAGCCCAGTATTACGTAGGTGGGCTGAGGCGTACTGTTCTTCATGTTGTCCTCCACATAAATCCCATTTAAATAACAACAAAATGGAATGTTTACATTTCAAGTCGATTTCAATTTATCGATTAATTGAACTAGCTTCTGAATCAGTGATACGAATAAACATAAACATGTATACGAATAAACATAAAAAATAAGTGCTACTAAATTAATCTCGAGCTGTAAGTAATTAAATAATAATCTATTATTTTGTCATAATTATATTTGTGAGTGAAATAGTGAGGTCTTTACAGTGAGTAGTAAAAATTGTCTTAAGTAAAGCCTGAAGAATGTTTAACTTACTGTCGGAACACATAGTTATTGGGGCTTTTAATATTTGCTTAGGAAACATATTTTCGTGTAGCCCTTCTTGTAATTCCCAACTGGTTCTAGCGAGGACTGTAAGGCATGTCTTCAAATTTAGAGTCACACCGGTCGAGCAGTGAGTGTGGTGTATGTGTAGTGTATGTACCGGTGTATGTATGTATGGATACATATGAATGTATACATATGTATGTATGTGTGTATGTATACATATGTATGTATGTGTGTATGTGTACATATGTATGTATGTATGTATGTATGTATACATATGTATGTATGTATGTATGTATACATATGTATGTATGTATGTATATATGTATGTATATATATGTATGTATGTAGTGTATGTGTTACTTACACAAAGTAGTAAAAATTGTCTTAATTAAAGCCTGAAGAATCTTTAACTTACTGTCGGAACACATAGTTATTGCCGCTTTTAATATTTTACCTTTTTTAAGTTTTTCTATCCGGAAATCTGTCCTTTAGAATTTCCTTTGTTAGAATTTTTAAAATTTAATTGGTATAATTCCACATCACATCCAATCACAAATATTGGCATCACTGATCTGAATTATCCACTTAGTTTTATCGTTATCGATAACGACGCCGATAATGATCCGATGTACTGTTTATTTTGTTGCCATTTCTGAGGGCGCCATTTATAGAATTCATTTCTTTATTATCAGAAAACGGAGCTAAATGGCCACTTCCGCGCAGAAGGGTAAGCGAGGAAAGACCGGGAAGCAGATAAACTCCGCTATAACCGCGAACGTGCGACATCTGGTCAGGAACTTGTCGGAACCGGGGGTAAGTTTAAAAACAGATGTTATTCCTATTCCAATTTAATACATTTATACTGCAGACCAGCCAGGAGAAGTTGCACAAGATGGAGGATACGGTATCAAAGATACTCACTAAGGAACACTGGGCATGGGTCCGCACAGACACGGAGGTGAAACGCAGCTTGGACGATCTGGCCGACCGTTTCCGGGTGGAAGGCATGGCTTCTTTTGGAGATACCATCAAGGAGCTGGCCAACAAGTACCTGGCCATGCAACAAATTCAACAGCATTCCGATGGATGGTCAATGCTGGAATTCCTTCTCCTCATAGCCCATAAGCCGGTGCAAAACATCCGGCGCAACCGGGTGTTCATGGAAGAGCACCGTCTGTGCATGATCGACAGCATGGAGGCGAGTGAGCGCCAGGCAGAGGTAGAACTGGAGGCCGCCATGCATCCAGACGAGGAGGTGGACTGGGCAGCGTTGCTGTCCGAGGATTTCCTGGATCCACCAGAGTATGACAGCTCGGACAGCTTAAGTGTAAGCATCTGGAGAACACCACTGCTAGTTTCATTTGCAGCGTAATAATACCCTTACCTTTTTCCCAAAAGGATTGGTCGGAGGAGTCGGACTGCGACTCGACATCTACTTTGAAACCCGATGAGATGGCCATGGCTTATCAGCAGGCCATAAAGGTGGCAGACCCAAATGGGAGGGAAAACAACAGCTACTTGCCGTCCATGCCGGTGCAGCGCGTCATCCGGATAACGCCATCAACGGTTCTGAGCCTCAACAACTATAAGAGCAATCATCTGAGACGGAGCAAGCTGATTCAGTTGCCGCCGCCCCAACCGCCCCGAACAACCACCCCATATTGGCAAAGTGAGAGGAACACGGACCTGCTCTCGCGTACAATCCACTCCCTCTGGTGGCGCCCTGATGTCCATTTGAACGCCCTGCCCGCCAGTACAAATCCACTGGACAACTTTGCCGTGAGCTACGTACAGTATTTGAACCACAACGCCCGAGGCTTGTTGGCCCTGCCACTGCCCAAAACCACCACGGAGTCCTGTCTGCTAAGGGAGATCCTCCTAATGTTCGTGCGTCCATCAAGCTGTTGTTTCTTTATATTCAACAAGGATACGCGTCGCATTACTGTGCGCGATAATGTCAGTATCTGCACAGTGACTGCGGTAAGAATTCGAAATGTTAATGTAACTCTATCTTCAGTCCTTATCTGCTTATAGTGCACGCTGCAAAAGTTTCTGCTTTATAATGTGGTGCCTGCGCTGGAGGACATGCTGGAAGTGCAACGCATCATCGACACTCATACGTTGCATTTCGATGGCATAAAGACAACGATTACCTTGGAATGCTTTGCATACGGCCTGCGGGATCTTGTCCAGCCTATTTGTCAGCTCCTAGTCGCTTACGAGGACCGTGTCATTGAGGATCCCGCGACAAATACGCTGATCAACTTTACGGTTGAGTTCAGGGAACACTTTTCCCAGCTGCGCTTGCTGCGACTGCTGGTCGAGGAGGCCATCCTGGATAAGGGTCCTCCGCACCTACGCAGCGCCTACTTGCTATGCAGACTTTATAAGCAGACCCTGCCGCAGGTGCCGCACCAGAAGATGGCCATTGCCTTGCTGCTTGTTTCACTAAAGCGATACTGTATCATCATCGACGGCTGGTGGCGCAGTGCCAAGCTGGAGGATCGCCTAAACGAGTTCATCGTGGAGCTATGGTACGTCAAAAGGGTGCTCACTACTGGGGCCAGCTGAAGTCATCATTTTATTTTGTTCTTAAAGTGTCGAGGAGGACTCACAGCAACGTGGCTACGTGCGCAAACGCAGTGTGAATTGTGAGGAAGGTGTGGAAGTCGTGGAGATCTTCAATAAGCTGCAATCCTGCCCTCTTTACCAGATACTGCTGGAGCATGCTCTGGAGTCTGGAGAAACACAAGATCTGCTGTCCAGTGTAAATAAGTTGGGCGAGATGCTGACCACCCACAATGAAAGCCAAACGCCGTCACTGTACGATGAGCTGGTCGCCCAGGTTTTTACCCAGATTGAGGCTTACTGTGGTAGCATCCCCACGGATGAGAAAGACGAACCGGAGCCGGAGGAGGACCCAGAGCAGGCACACGACGATCTGATTGCGAGCAATGTGCAGGGCATTAGGAACCTTGATCTCTTTGCCATATTTACCCAGCCGGTGCAGCAACGACGTTTAGAGCGACAACGCGAACGGCTGAGAAAGAAGCCCATTGAATTGGTCAACATTTTGAAGCGTTTGGAGCGCGCCACTTGTCTGCAGCTGAAGTCTGAGCTGCCGGTGGCGCTGCGCGTAGTTCTGCAAAGGAGACAGTGCCTGGCGAACGAGTACGCAATGCGAGCGTACTGCAAAGAGCTGCATCTGGCTGAGAACTTGCGTTTCGTGCGGCACACGATGATGCTGGAGGCGTACATACTCGTGCCCTACTACGCCGCACTCTTCGCGCGCATTGAGAGGAACGATAACTGGACACAGAGTTCAGTACTTACTTCTACGCTCCGCGAAGTGCTGTATCCATATTACCAGCGATTGGCTCACACCATTCATGTCAACGTTATATCCCAGATAAACTCAAATTCAATTAAGGTCTATGAGGCCCTGGAGGCTATTGAACTTTCCTACGAGATGCCAGTAGCCAAGCAGCGCATCCTCACAACCAAGCACATACAAGACTACAATTTGGTGTGGCGCCTGATGCTGAAGATGAAGTGGGCCCTCTGGAAGCTGGAGACTCTGCAGATTCTGGGCCCCGACAAGGCAGATCCATATGCACCTCTTGATTTGCTCGGCCTGACCATCCGTCGCCTGCAGATTGTGCGCTTCTGGCTGATTTTCCTCATGAACAACCTGCACACGCACGTTATGGAGGCTGTGGGTCAGCAGCTCGAGCTCAGGATTGGCAAGTGCAAGAACATCCGCGAGTTGAGGAGCATGCACGACGAGCACTTGTCGTGGCTGAAGACACATTGCATGCTAACCGACGATTTCAAGTCATTTCGCGTCGCCCTCGAGCAGCTCTTTCATCTGGTCTTCGTGCTGGACATGGAGTGGAACACCTGCGCCAGCTACATGGGCGTCAACGATGCCCTTTGCTTGGACTTCACCCTTTCGGATGACGGCATTGACGACGGCAATGCGGAACGCCGTAGCTTTGAGTACCTGGCGCTCAATCAGGTGGTGGAGATTGAGATAACGTACATACGGTGCCACCAAACCCTGGCCGACATCCTCAACACGCTGGTGTACCAGAACGATCACAGATTCCGTAAGTGTTTGTTGGTCCCGACATCGGTTACATGTACTTACATTTCCTTTGTCTTGCAGTGTCTGCCTTGCGGGAGACCATCAGCTCCAGTTTGCCCCATTAGAACTGAATCTCCACAAAGGATCTTGTTGCGCATTACCAGTGCCATTACCAAAAGTCCCAACCAAACATTCCCATACCAGCTGAATTAAAAGCAGTTTATTTTTGTTGATGAAACCTCACTCGAACTCCTCATCGCTGTCAGCGAAGGGCTCCACGATCGGTAGCGGTGGCAGGGTGGTCACCTCGTGCAGCGTTGGCCGCCGGATGTACGGCTGGCAGATGGACTCGCATAGGCGGGCGGTGGGAAAAACTTTGCGGAATGGGTAGCACTGCCCGTTGACGTGCTCACAGCGCCGGTAGCCGGACTTCCGATTGAACACGTACAGCTGGGCGCATGGCGAGCAGTTGGTCTGGCCTTTCAGGCGCGTATGCAGGCACTGGAAGCTGCGATCGCTGGAGCTGATGCCCTGGGACACGTGCCGTATGGCAATGGCTACGACGACGACCACCAGGCTGCACCAACGCACTCCTTGCTGCCGCATGGTCAGTTGGTCTCTGTAGCCTTGTCGAATTTATTCGTTTAGTTTCGCCCGTTTAGCTGGTTTCTCATGCTTGTCTTGGCACTAATGTGTTCCGCCCTCCTAAATCTTGCAATTGCACTTGAACATTTGCTCCAACAAGTCCAATGGTGTTGGTGGTCATTGTGAAATTTATTGACAAGTTCCCATTTCAATGTTTTTTAAATATGTATGTCAAACATGTTTTGCAGACAGAAAAGAAAGTTGGGCCAGGCGCTCGATAACTATTTAAACCAAAGGACTGTGCGCCAGGACCTCTTCGAGTGCGCGAGCAGGCAGCTTAGGTCCCGCAACCCGCAGGAGTCGCAGCAGCCAGAGCTGAATTGTGCTTTCCAGCTGGTTACGTTACCCTGGCAACCAGCAAGAAGTACAACAAACGACGGTGCTGGAAGTTCCAGCTACTTGGAGATCCATTCCCACAATCCAAACTTACAAACCAAACTGCAGTACTGGGACATACTCACCCTGATCCTTCACGTGCATACGGAGTGCTTAAAATGGCGTACTCAGTGACGCCACATCGGGCCAACCTGGTGCTGCAGATGCTGCTGCAGGCCAATACCTATGTGTCCATGGTGTGGGCCATGAGCTACATGATCCACATGCTCATACGCGTGAGTCTGCCTTTGAGATTCCCCCCTTGGCGATGTGCTGTCATGACCAGCCTCCGTTTGTCCCCTGCAGCTGAATCACTTGTGGAACCTGGAGGGCCTGTCCATGCTCGTGGCCTACGTCTTGGCGGTCTCCGCTGAATCGGTGCGCCTGTACGCCGGCTACTCTGTGAACCTGTGCTCTGGCGCCACTGCCATGTGGCTGCTGCTCACAGTGACACCCTGCATTCTGCTGCCCGCCATGGTCTTTCTTCGCCTCTCAGCTGCCGGCCGCAGCTTATGGCTACGCATCATCACGAACGCCGTGTTCGCGCTGATAGTTCTCGAGGTGATTGTGTCCCTGGTGCACTTTGTCATCTGCAAGCCGGGCGGTAAGATGTCACTGCCACTGGAAGTGGAGGAGCCGCCTGAGGAGGAGGAGGAGGAGGAGCAGCAGTCCGCCAGTGCGGGAACGCCCACGGGCAATGAGCAAAAGCGCCGCGTGCGACGCTCCCCGGAATCGAAATGATGAGCCGAACAGCTGGTTTATAAGTGAGGCTCTGAGGTTTACTTGGACATTGGCATAAATAATAAAGTAGGATAAGCTATTTAAGCTAAGCTAGGCTAGGGGAACGATGCGATCATCGCCGATCACACCTTCCGTGCATCGTCCAAATTGTGCGCCTTCAGCAGGGCATCGATCGAGTCCAGATGGGCGCGCATCCGCGGCAGAAAGCTGGTCAGCACCTCGATGTTCTCCGCCTGGGCGTCTCCCTGACCCAGCAGCTGGCTGCGCGTGGGCACCCAGCTGTAGATGATCTGCAAGCGAGCAAACAATTTTGCAATTAGCCGAATGAAGGCATCGAAATGGAATGGATTGGTCGGTGAAGCACCCACCTTGATTGTGCTCTGGACGATGAAGCCGTGGTAGGGCTTCAGGGTGCGCTCGTAGGCGTCCTGCAGGTGTTGCTTCAGTGCCTCCTTGGCCTGGGCATCGTTGTAGATGTTCTCGAAGAAGGTGCAGATGAGCTGGAGGCCGCGCTTCAGCCAGAGCAACGCATTGGCCGCAAAGTCGTCCACGTTCACATTCAGCACAATCAGATCCTCCAGATACTGGTACTTGACCACATCTGCTCCGTAGGCTTTCGTCAGTTTCTGAAATGGCAATAAACGGCAATGAAAATGAGTTCAACTGCAGCATTTTGGCATGTGGTTGGTTCAGGGAAACCAACAGCTACATCTCGTACAATTCCGACCGCGATCTCCGAAAGCTTGGCGCCCCGGTGAACTTACGTTTATGTTTCCGTTCATGTCGCTGATCACGGGTGTGAATAGTTTGCCGAAGCTCTCTGCAAAATGGAAAACAGATAGCAGTGAGTGAATTGATTGGAGCCAGTTTGGGTGCGTTGTTATCACCTATGACGGTTACTATCTCTTTGGAGGCGGTAAGGAAGGCCTGTGTCTCCAGCTTATCAGTGGAATCGCCGATGGCCGGAAATCCCCGCAGCACCTTGAACTGAATGCGCGCCGATCCCTCGCTGGCTGTCATCATGTGCTCCTTTTTTGCTCCGCTCCGCTCGGTTCCGTCTCCAAAGCGCTTCCAACGCCGACTGATCGGTAATCTGCAAGCGAAGTTCACCAGCTGCTCAGTTTCGTGCACCAATATCGGCTGTTTATCTAATCGAACGGAGCGGAATACAAATATTCCCCTACATTCGTGCGACACTTGAAATCGCCACCGAACGGCCTCCTCCGCTTCTCCTCCGCTGCTGCGATAATGGAAAATGGGCTGAGCAAGTGCCGCGCGAGTACGTTCCATTCGGGGGAACGGGTTACGAGAGGGCCAGAGCTTTAACCCACCTCACAGCTGGCGTCTTGCATCTTAGAGAGCCGCTGAGCGACAGAGCGCTCCACTTCATCCGCTCAATCCGATCCCAGCTGGCGCAGCACGAAAACCTGATTTCAGCGCAGCTTTGCTGTGCACCATGGGCTAAAACGCACTTTTGCGGCTCAAACTTAATCGACTTCAAATGACATTTAAAAAATTATAGGTTTTGTGTTTTTAGTGTTGATTTGTTGATAGGCGTGGAGATTGAAATTGCGGTGTTACGTAATAGAGATTCAAATCGCCTAAAGAACGGATTTTGGGCAAACTTCTTTAGTTGGAAAATGAAAAGTGAAAGCATATTTAGAATTCATTAAATCAAACTAAATTGTTAAACACAAGTTAAAAAACAAGGGTCAAAAGCAGTTTTAAACTGCAGTTTTCGTATTCAAACAACTAATGAAGAAAACAATGAGACGAACATTTAACTATCACGCACTTTCGAATAATATCGATCCACTGATAACGCTTATCAATCAATTTATGGCATTCCCATGCTAATCTGGTGTATTTTCAGTTTTTTGATTTCGACGGCACTGCTGCGAAAGTCAGATAGTTTGATATTGTGGAACCAACCAGGGTGAACGTCACCAGGAACTTGGCAAACGAACGAAAGTGACTCACCGATGATTTCGGTTTTATCAGGCAATTCGCTTGCGTGGCGGGGGTTCTTTCCACGGACTGTTTATTAACTTAATGGATTGCTACCTAATTTAGCTGGGTTCAAACGGAACGATATCTTAAGTTCTCATTATTCGTGGGGAATATTTTTAAGAACTTCTTATATCAAGTGCGATCACACAGCGCAGATGTGTCTGTCTATATAAATGTTTTTAGTGTGTAATATATTTTAAAAATTAATTTAGATAAGTTTTGTATTCGCGTTTGGAATAATACTTTGAACTATATGTATATCATAGCATAAAGTTCCCTTTTTCACATATTTTCATATTTATACATTTCAAACCTCATTTTTTGAGAAACTCCAGATTTGCATTTAAATATGAAATATAAATATGAAATGAAACGATTGGCAATGGGTCATCCAGTTATTCCAATAAAATCCAAGGAGAATGGCGACTCACCTAGTGCTCCTGCTCCTAGCAGTCCTAGGAGTCGCAGGACAGCCGCTTGGTATCGCCACTGGTGGTCAGCACGAAAACGTAGTGGGTGCACTGCTCCGCGAGGAGATGCCACAGGGAAGCGGGCAGCTGGAAGCGGTGCACGGAAGCCCCCTCGAACTCCTCGTAGTGGGCCACCAAGCTGTTCTGGTTGCAGCGCAGCTCGACCAGCCGGATGGGCCTGCTGGAGCAGATCTCCCGGGTGTCGTGGTTCAGTTGGATATCGGCCGCTTCAAAGTCTTCGGCAGCTGTCTGTTCCAGTTCCAAATTCAGCCAGCGATGGTGGGCCAGGATCACGGCACAATTGCGCGCAAAATAGAAGCTATCGTTGCGCTTCTGATTGTGATAGTTGTCCAGCAGTTGGCAGCCGGGCTGCAGTTTCAGTTTGGTGAGGCGGGCACGGTTGCCTGCGGCGCCACTGGCGACGGAGGAGGAGGATGATCCGCCCTCGGATAAGTTTGTATTGCCACCTGCGTCCTTTCTGGCGTCCACAATTCGTTGCGGCAAATGCTCCGTGGGCTTGTCCACGGTCAACACACGATTCAGGTAGTCGAAGCCCTGGCCCATCACACCCTCGCTGGTGTGGCCCAGATCGAAGCAGTGACCCAGTTCGTGGCACACGGCGCCCAAGGTGCTGGCATACACGCCACCGTACGTCCTCCGGTAGTTGCTCTCGTCCGGCAGGCGGGCGATGTCCACCCGCTCCGCGCTGCGCACACAGTCGCCGATTTCCGCGAAGCTCGTGGGCCAGGCGTAGAAGTGGGCACTGCCGAAGAGCGCCAATCCGCCGCCACCGAGAGCAGCGTGTCCCTTGAGATGCCGCCGGATGCTGGCGTACGAGAAGTCACCGCTGGCCACCACCGCGTCGCCGTCGTAGTGCGTGCAACTCACAAAGGCGACGAACTTGAGGAGCAACTGGTGTCCCCACTGCGGGCAGGCGATGATCTCGCCGGCGAAATGCTGCCACAGCTCGTCCTCGCTCCTCTCCAGCGCCTGTTTTCGTGTCAATTGGCTACGGAAGGCGCAGCACTTGCCGTTGAGCGTGAAGGTGCGGTTGGGAAAGCCCGCCGCGTGCAGTTTGTGGGCGTAAATGGACTGCACCAGGCGCAGATTAAGATCTATGAGGGAGTGCACCTCGTGCTGTTGCGCCAGCGGCTTCTCCTCGTCCTGGCAGAGCAGGTAGAGCGGCTGCACCCGGTAGGAGCTGCGCCGGGGCCTGTAACTGAAGCTGATCGTACGGGTGGCCGTGCAGGTTCGCAGCTCCAGGAGACAGGCGCTCTGTTCCTCGCTATTCGTTTGTTCCAAGTCGAATAACAGCTTGAACTCGCCGCCGGCCGATAGCTGAGTCAGCTGCTCCTGGGACTGGTGCTGGGGCAGATCGAGGATCGCCTTCAGTTGACGCGCCGTGGAACACTTGGGCACCAGGCGTCCCTTGACCAACAGCAGGCTGTGCTCCAGGCGCTCCGACTCCAGCGGCTGCTCAACCTCGATGCTGTGCAAGCGCTTGCAGCCGGCGGTGCCGCTGCTCATTGCCAAATTCTGGCCAGGATTTCCGGTTCCGTTTTTCTGCTCAAATCAACATTCAGACTCTGAAATCCAATTGGAAAAGCCGAACAGAAGCACAGCGCTGCCGGACCGGTAAAATAAAATACGAAAGCGGACCAAAGCTCGTTGCTGCAAGTGACCAACCGACAATGTAATCGATAGTTGAGGCAATCGAACTGTTGTTCTTGATAATTTCAATACACCAAGACATTTCTTTAGGCTACTATTGAGTGAAATCTACTCATTGGCAACATGTTATGTACCGGCAATTGTTTTGTTAGACGCCCTACTGATCCTGCTATCGTTATCGGCTTCCTTATCGATATCGATAGGAATATATACCGAAGCACTGCCGAACCCGATACAATCATTTACCTATCGCCTCCCAAAATCGATGACAGTTTTTAAATAATTGGTTAAATTATTTGATAATAGTAAACTGTAATTAATTAACTCGGCAATCGCAACTCTGGATGCACCTGGCGATGCGGACATGATCGCCGTCGCAGAACCGCCGCTGGAGTTTGTGCCGCGCGGCCGTCAGTCGTCCGCGGAGCATCCGGGTCCACATGACCAGCCATTGGCGCGCCACCAACTGCCCACCACGGAGCACCTGCTGCTGCAGCGCCTCCAGAATGTGAACATCTCGTCGGCCGGCGAGGACTGCCCTCCCGGCGGCCAGGAGTCGTGGACGGTCCGGGAGCTGTACGATGACTACGAGGCCTCCGAGGAACGGGCCGCCCGGCGACGCCAGTTGATCGAGCGGACCAAGCGATGTGGTCCCCAGGCAGCGGCGGCCACCCAGCTGACGTCGCTGCCGCACAGCCTGCTGAATCCGCCGCCGGAGCGGCGCGAGGAGCCCATGTGCGACTATATGGTGAACAACGAGGAGGAGCTGTACGTGCACCGAAACACGGTGGTGTGGACGCAGGGCTTCAACGATGACGATGATCCCGATAATGGGGTGTACAAGCGCATGTGTTTTACCACCGATTCGCCGGTGCGCTTCGCCTGCTTCCTGAATCGGAGTTTTGTGCGCGGACGACTGGCGCAGCTGAAGGCGGCTGTCCAGTCGGAGGACGACCAGCTGACCGCCATCTGTGTGATGGATCAGGACGCCCTGCGGGTGTACTGTAACGACGGCGAGGATTTCCTGGCCAATCTGGACTTTCCTGTGTCACAGCTGTGGCAAACCCAGCATGGCCTGCTGTTGGAAAAGGATTCCAGCAATGCCTTGATATCGCACCTGTCCATTCCGATGCCGCGGCTCTTCTCCATGTCGCATCCGCTGCACGAGGCCTGTCCCGTCGTCCTGAAGACGGCCACCAACTACACCGGCTACATGACCGAACCGGTGTACAGTGTGGTCTACACCACCGAGGAGTCGGATTTGGTGCTGCTGTACGATGCCAAGTTCTTCAAGCATTTCGTGGCACGCCTGCGTAAGGTCACGCCCGAAGAGGTCAACTATGTGAGCCAGCAGATGGAGCTGGGACAGACGCTACTGGGAGCCAGATCGATGGCCAGCAATAGCTTCACTTCCACCAAGCACACTGGAGGTGAGTTGACAGCAATGGGAGCGACGGCATTCGATTTATTCACTGTGTTTTATTGTTAGCCACGTCAAAAGCCTCGAATATA